TTGGATAGTATCATGTCTATCATTGATCACTTCATAACCATTGATTATTGTTTATTTAGTAAATTTTAATGTTGATTATTATATTTGCTTGCATGTTTCATAATTTGATATAGATTGTAGAGCATTATATGTTGACATCATATCATTGATACTTATGCTCAGTGACTGAATGTAAAATCACATCATATCATTTATTGGTGTATCCTCTGTGCTGCTATACTATTCTATCAGCTGTCAGTCTGGTAGGCAACTTTGATTCATTTACATCTTTGTGAGGCTGTCATAGGCTACTCTTTTGCCCAGTTTACCTTGCTCTGATATATTCTTCTAATCTGGACTCGGGGTAGTATTTTATTTATCTCTAGATAGATCTAATAGATAGAATGGACTTACGCACCGAGTTCCTAAAAGATGTAAGGAAGTGCGGGATAGTTGAGGGTAGAGTAGGAGCACAGTTAGAATCATTTGTTAAAGGCCATATGGATACTTTCGATTACATGAGTGCCCGTAATGCTGCAGAGAAGAAGCGAAAGTTGGAGAAAGAAGAATATGACTCGATGCTTGCCCGTCATGCAGCGGAGAGGCTAGAAGAAGAGAGAATGCGGCAAATTGAAGAAGAAGAAGATGCTAGAAAGTTGCAACTCCTAGAGGAGGCAGCTAGTGAAAGAATGAGGTTTTTTAAAGAAAAGCTGCATAACTATCGACTTAGGCAGACGAATAGAGAACTGCAGTTAGACACAGGGAACGGTGAGAACACTATTAGGGTAGTTGAGGGAACTGACAACTCCCATACTGACACTCTGGTAGAAAGGTCTGGGACTCACTCTCTCAATGGAGAGGTGTGTATTATTTTGCCAAACGGTACTTCATCGAGGGATGAAGTAATAGACCACCCACGACCTTGCCTCACCCCTCTTATTCCTAATAGGGACAGAGCTGACATTAAAAAGAACTTTTCTGTAGGGATAACCGGATCTACATTGCTGGCCCCATTTACTACCATTCTTAAGCCTAAAAGGAAAAGATGGAGTAAGAAGCAGAAATCTTCAAAAGGGACCGGATCTACATTGCTGGAACCCCTTACTCCCATTATCTCAGATGAGATATATGAGAGCACACCCTGCAGTAATCACAAGCGTGATAACTGTACTAACCGTCGACACAATGGTTCGACTGGCACATCAGCCATTAATGAGGACGAGGGCAAAGCCTTTCCCAACTCCCATATATCCTTTGGTCCCTTCCAACAAGAAGAGGAAGTAAAGCAGACTAATGTAGGGAATAACACTAAACCTGTTTCCCCTATTTCCCTTGATGCGATTGCATACAAAATAGAAATAGTTAGTTCTGACTTTTCGCCCAAAGTAGTTGACTGCGACGGTAGCGACAAATCCCCTTATTTGCCTTCTCTGGACTTGGCATGTGAAAGCCAGACCAGGACGGATATAACAGATAAGGAGGATAGTTCTCTTAATTTCTTGACGACCTTAGAGACAGTGAGTAAACAGGACATTGCTGCAAGTCCTGTGCACTCTGATACTGGACAGACAGAAATGTTTGCCAGTGATGAAGAAGAAGGTACTTCTTGTGTGCAGGGAGACAAATTGTCTCTATCCTGTACAGCTGGGGCGACAGGGATACTTCTGGTGAAGGACCCTGAAGCGGAACAAGCCATAAATAGTAGGGAACCCCAACATTCTGGTCTTGTATTACTCTTCGCTTCGAAGGAAGTGACAGGGGTATCTCAGCTGATAGTGGAAACTTCATTGCGAAGAAATGCCACTTTACTGTCTGAAGGAAACCCTGAGTTTCCTAATGATTTGACTGTACCCCCTGACTTGATTTCGTGCTCTGATTCTGGACTGATCTTAATAAAAGAGAATTCCACCCGGACAATTTGTAAAACAGATAGGATGCACCGAGGAGGAAACAAGTGGACACTCCTTCAAGAAATCGTCAGTGGTCAGTTTCACTCACTGCATGCCATCACTATGAGTGACTATATCCCTCAATTTGAGAGGAGATTAGTGACAGATTTTTCCAGGATCTGTAGATGTAGGAAAAGAGAATCCTACCTGACTACAACTCATCCTTTTCGGAGAGCACTTCAGGCCCTCCCTATGCTAATAGGGCGTGGCGAAGTGAGGAAATGGACAGGGACTGTCAATCAACGATGTCGAGGAATCCCATTGTTGAAGCGGAGAGCAGTTCTTATCCTGTGGGAGAAGAAACCTCCAGATAAATGGATATTACTGAGCGGCTGCTCAGAATACACGCATGATTCTAGGACTAAGGACTTAGCCTGGAATGAGGGACAATTGGTGACTGTACATCGATGCAGGACATCACGATTCCACAAGGAATACTGGAACAATACTGGAGATGACAGGGGTACTAACCTTCTTGGGAATCACTGAGTGTCGTAGAATTGGTCTTAAGGCGGGCTACAACCAACTTAACGGAGGGCCTGTCACGATACGATCTCAGTGATTCCAGAAGTTAAGTACTTGTAATAAGTTCTTCTGGTTATTGAGAGACAAGAGACTATGCCCTTAAACCAAATGTTACTTTAAACCATATTGATTTAAATGTTTCCAGTCCTTAGTCCAGACAAAGCAACCCAACCTTGAGTAATATTACCTAAAACCTTACACTGTAGCTAGGAATTCTATTCTCACGCCAGTGTCAGAATGTTATCTCCTGACCAGACTGTAGAGACTGAGCGGGGCCTTTTGAACAGGGGAATTGAGTAGACGCTAGACATTGTGGAGCCGGGAGGTCGGAGTTTAACACGTCAGTGTAATTCTGGAGAGAACAGGTGTTTGGCAATTAGGAATGGTTTATCTTGGTCAAGGTCGTACTGTAGGCCGTTCACTGTGAGTGACAGGTCACTGGTTAGCCAAATGATGATAGTTACCTCAGGGGCGGTGCTTATGTCATCATCTTGAGGGTTGGGCAGAACTCAGGAAAGGGAGGAGTTTAATTTGGACAATAGATTGATACTTATACTTCGAGCCTGTGGAATTCCCGTCATTAATCGCAGCCTGCCGGCAAACAAACAGGTCGACGTAAAGGTATATTTTACTGTCGTACTCTGGTTTGGCGATAGATGGAAAAGTTCCCAGGTAAGAGAAAATATTAATTTTAATCTTGTATACTTAGGTTAGGGAGTTAAGCTTAGTCTATACTACCTTTTCCTAATTTGTCTGCACATTCTGCTGGAAATAGTTCTTTGTGAGAATTCAGTATCTCAGTTAGGGAACTGCTAAACTATTCCTATTTCTTGTATGTTTGTGTCACATGTTTTTCAGTGTATGTTTTCATGTGTAGTAAAATAAGATGTGAACAATGACATTTGATATAATGAACTGTAATTATATTGTTTCCATGATGCCCATATGTGCAGGGATGCTGTTACGTTTTGTGTGCCCACCATGTGCTCACTTAAGGTGTTCACCTAAACAGGGGATTTATAACCCCAGGGGGAGAATGTTGGGTGTATAGAATTCACTGTCACTGAAAGATAATATTCAGGACAGCGTGCACATATAAATTGTTTGCGTTTTCAGCACATAACCTGCGCCACATGTTTATGTCAAATCTATGTCAGCCAATTCGAAGTCTGAGTGAAGACGGACAACAGACTTAGAAAGTCAACTATCATGACATAGCATTTGAGGGAAGGCAGGATATGTGACGCCCATGTAAGACAAAAGACCTTCAGACTAGACTGGAGAGGATGGGGAATATGAGGAGGAGTGATGGGCTATATTTTATTATTCTATGTTATATTAATTGATACATGTATTCTTAGTGTAAGTCAAGATACTACACGTATGTGTTTTGTTTCCATGATTACAGCGCCCATGTGACGATCAGTCCATGAAGTAGCCTACATTGTGTTAGACTCTGCCAGCTGGGAACGAGGTGGAGAACGAGGTGGAGAACGATGTGGAGAACGAGGTGGGGACGAGGTGGAGAATAAGCTGAAACAGGCAGACAACAGGCAAGGAAGAGTTGGACAAGCTTGACAGTTCCTCACGGCTGTCAGAGGCTTATAAGTTGAGTTAACCCCTTTATGTTAACCTTTTATCATCATTATCATACCACTCTAAACCCCGAGCTGTTTGTCTCGCTGAAGCTTATCCGTTAACCAGTCACTGTTTGTGTAAATCAACAAACTGGTAATTTCATTGTAGTAAATAAAGCTGTATGTCTAGTTTTAAACTACATAGTTTGTTAAATTCCAAATGTCTGTTCTTACATGTTTAATTAAACTGTTAGGATAGATTACCATTTGGTGGGTGCTCAAATAATATAATAATTCTTTAATTATTAATAATAACACCGGGAGAAGGTAGATGACGAAGGAATCACTTGCCCTGTCTAATAATTCATTTAGTATGATAGACATCTAAAATTCCTTGCTTTCTCTTGTGGGTACCAAGTTCAGCTAATGTTAATATACTTAACGAGCCAATATGGCTGTTTTCTTGGATATCCAGGACTTTGTCTGAGAGCAACATAGCTCAGATTTTAGTTCGGTTTATCTAGTGGAGAGAATGTGTTGAAAGGAAGATCCCTACTCAACAACATAAACATTTAAACCACGCGTCACGTCACAAGAACAGACAGGAAATGATGGCAGGAGCACTAGATTTAGAAGATGCTTACAACAGAGTGAGATACAATATCTTGATGAAAGCGCTTATAGAGAAGGGAATCTCTCCTTGGTTGGTGAAGTAGATAGCAGCCGTTTTGTATACTCACCAGGTAGCTCTCTGCCTGGGTTCATGGACCTCTGAACCATGTATTATAGCACTAGGACTACCACAGGGATCTGCAATTTCACCTGTACTGTTCAATGTTTCTTATCTCTGTCACATACAACAGATGACAATTTGCCTCAACTTTACTTTTATGACAAACAAAGGATGACAATTTGCCCCAACTTGACCTTTATGACATACAACAACTCTTTAAGCAACAGAGATACTTACCACAACCAACACAGATGTCAGCGTGCCGACTACCAGGTTGACTACTCGATCCTACCAGGGTAGAAATATTCAAAATGTCACTGAAGACAACTATCACTTGTCAACATCATCCGATGAATCATTCAATATATAATTTATTTTACTTAACTTGTCTTCAAGAAGAGCAATGATCGGCACAGATGATTTAGCAAATATTACATCAGAAGTCGGATTAAAACTAACTTAAGTTTTAAAGCCTGCTTATGTTTTTTTTATTTTCTAATAATATTTCAATGTTAACATATGCCAGTAAGAGTTAAAGAACCACTAAAGACATGGGACAAGTGTGAAATATATATGAAAACAAACGCCTGAGAAAAATGAAGAACATTAAATGTGATGAATTCAATACAGGCAAATAAATAAAAGAAATGTCTGGATTACCAATGGTATCAACATAAGATAAAGAAGATGACAAGATACTGTGCACAACCTGAGGCGAAACCAATAGAGAATCACTAAACAGGCAGTTAAATTGGAAACAAATGGACAGAGAAACAAGGACGTTAAAAAAAATATTCTAAGATGAATACTGATGTGAGAGGCCAAAGGTGCTGTACTGAATTGTTGCAGGTCAAAGTACAACAGGATGCTGACGTCATACTTACTAATAAATGACTTTTCAACCGACATTGACATTGAAGAAAAATGCCTACTCTATCAGGGACTTGTTCTAAGTGTTACAGATTATGGTCTGGGCCTCCTCACTGTCAGCAGAACCCAGCTAGAAAGACTGGGTACAGAATGAGGCCATTAGACTCAAACTCGACTGTATAAAAGACATCTTGTGCCATGTCATGTGGTATGTCCTGGGTTTGCCGACTATGGCCACCACACATAAAGTGGCACAGGTAAAAGCGTACATGAGAATATAAGCAGACATCAACCACCCACTGCACAACGCTATCGATGATATAAAAGGGATGCGAATCAAAAGAGGCTCCTCCTGGATGGCCGAGGCAAAAAAATATCATCCATCAAGTATGTGCCCTAGACGAGATCAGTCACGGAGTCATGGAAAAGAATGGACGGGCACACCAGTAGACCTGCATGACTTGTCTAAGGTTGTCATAACATTGGGGAAGTACTGCAGGAATCAGATACCTGCCACCGTAAATGCCGAAATGAGGGCACCGATTGATCAGCACTCACGCCCAGAAGACAAGATCATTTACACAGATGGGTCAGTGAAGGGCGGGACAAGATCAGCATGGGCATACACAGCACAAAAATTGGGGGAAAACAATAAAAGAGGATAGCGGCGCATGCCAGACAACTACGTCAAGCATGACCATGGAGATAACTGCTGCTACCAGAGCACTGGCGTGAGTAGCAGAACAAGCGGCCACACATGCGGTAATTGTTTCAGACTATGAACATGCTTTAGAAAGTCACTACAGGTAGTCTCCGCTACGATGGTTAGAAAGCATTTGGAAGTCGCAGTTAACCTCCATCATCTGGATCTACACACCTGGGCACGCAGGAGTAAATGGTAATGAAAGAGCTGACCAGCTGGCAAGTAATGCACCAATGCAAATGAGAAAAAGCATGGGCAGAGCTGATATCATCAACGCCATACAGATTAGGTTGGGAGATAATGGCGAATCTCTGACGCTAACACGACTTCGTGACCGAGAAGCACGACTATGCCGTCTTAGAGGTAAAGACAGGAGATACTATAACCAACTTCTCATGGGAACGATAAGTAGAGGTACCTTGAAGTGCCTGCTGCATCGGAGGACTCAGCACGCATGGGGATGCCCAATGTGCAAAGATGTCGATTGTGATAACATAACATAAATGACTTTTAAAAGCAGGGTAAAAAAAATAGAGATATGAAATTTTCACCTTATTAAGACATCCAAGCATAACTATGAGTGCAAAGAGACAGATTCTTCTTCTTCTTCTGCCTTTTTATCCCCCAATGGAGCATAGGCCCTCAACCAACTTACGCCAAGTCGTTCTATCCTTCGCCATTACATGGAGCTCTCCCCATGTCCTCCCAATCTTTCTAACCTCATTCTCCAGCTCTCTTCTCCATGTGTTTTTTGGCCTTCCTTTATTCCTATGCCCCTGTGGATTCCAATGCAAAGACATTCTAGTTATGCTGTTCTCCTGTTTTCTCAGTGTGTGCCCTATCCAACGCCAGCGTCTTTTCCTCACCTCCTGATCCACTGGAGCCTGTTTAGTTCTCTCCCAAAGTTCTACATTAGTTATTCTATCATACCATTTTATTCCCTCTATTCTGCGCAGTCACCAGTTAATGAATGTCTGTAATTTATTAGTAATTGCCTTCGTTGTTCTCCATGTTTCCGCCCCATACAATAGTACTGATTTGACATTAGAATTAAAAATTTTTAGTTTAGTATTTCTTTTAATTTCTTTTGACCTCCACAAATTCCCTAGTGCTATGAAAGCCCCTCTTGCCTTTTGTATTCTTATTTTAATATCTCTATCAGTTCCTCCAACCATGGATAAGTCAAAAAGAGACAGATTATTAATAGCATATTCCTTCCAACATTAAGCTACCAGTGCCCATATACGCAAAATCACCACCTGCGAGATGAGGTGCCTGAGAAAAGCAGCCAACCTAACCATACGAGATCGAGTGAATAATGAAACTATCAGGCAAATTGTGGCAACTACACCTTGTACTAGATTCACCGAGAAACAGCAGATCAAGTGGTTTAGCCATCTCGTTAGAATGCAGCAAGATCAAATACCATCACAAGCACTACATCTCAGAAGATCAACTACAAGAGCAAGAGGACGGCCGTGGAAAAACATGGATCGACAACATTAAACTCTACACCTTCACGGCATGACAATAGCCAGTGGCAGCCAACGTGCACTGGATCGCAAATTATTCCTCCCCATGGCGCTTAACGGCAGAAGTGGTTTATGATGATGATGATGTAGAGATATGAAGATAAAGGTGCCAACAACACTGGCTGCTTTTACTTGCCCAGACATTTGTATGTAAGGAGGTTTACTGGGTATTATGTACCACACCCCCATTTGTAAAGAAACAACTGGCACTCAACGTGTTATGTGGTCAATATCATGCCCACCACACTTAGTTCCCAATAAGGCTCGGATGAACTGGAAACACAGGTTTATGTTTAAGGCATGTTTACTTTGTAAACATATGATGTCAGGAGACAGGTAACCATGCCAGTAACTGTGTTTTGAATGAAAACACACTAACATTTTGGAAGTGAAGTGATTCATTTAACAAACAGTGTACTTAATAATCAACTTAAACTACAAAAAATAACTGACAATAACATTAACAGGCTTACTGTTGCTGTCGGGCGACTGCCAATCAGGGGCTGTAAAAGGGGATCTGCCTCTTGTCGAATCATTGTATTTGGCTATCTTTCCATCTGAATCATTTGTACTGTCAATAGACCATGTTTTCCTGTCTGTTAACCCTTATCGGCTTACCATTCTGTTCAGAGTAGAAGATAAAAGTAGGTATTATATAGAACACACTCAAAGGATGGTACAGTCCCTAAGGACATCCCTTACTGTGAATTAGAGATGGTTAAAATATATTAAGGTGGGCCTCTACTATAAAATAAAGATGTGTGTAAGTCGGACATGAAGAATATAGTTTAAAACAGACTCTTATTATGTCATTGGTGCATGTCAGACTTAAAAATTTGTAGATCAATCGACACTCTGTTGGTGATGTGGCCGGTACCGTCGGCACTCTGTGGGTGATGTGGCTGTACCATCGGCACTCTGTGGGTGATGTGGCCAGTACCATCGGCACTCTGTGGGTTATGTGGCCGTACCATCGGCACTCTGTGGGTGATGTGGCCGGTACCGTCGGCACTCTGTGGGTGATGTGGCTGTACCATCGGCACTCTGTGGGTGATGTGGCTAGTACCATCGGCACTCTGTAGGTGATGTGGCCGTACCATCGGCACTCTGTGGGTGATGTGGCCGGTACCGTCGGCACTCTGTGGGTGATGTGGCTGTACCATCGGCACTCTGTGGATGATGTATCCAGTACCATCGGCACTCTGTAGGTGATGTGGCCGGTATCAACGGCACTCTGTAGGTGATGTGGCCGGTATCAACGGCACTCTGTAGGTGATGTGGCCAGTACCATCGGCACTCTGTGGGTGATGTGGCCAGTACCATCGGCACTCTGTGGATGATGTGGCCAGTACCATCAGCACTCTGTAGGTGATGTGGCCGGTATCAACGGCACTCTGTAGGTGATGTGGCCAGTACCATCGGCACTCTGTGGGTGATGTGGCCAGTACCATCGGCACTCTGTGGATGATGTGGCCAGTACCATCGGCACTCTGTAGGTGATGTGGCCGGTATCATGCTGCCTGCCTTTACTTCCTATGACTTTAACCTGGTATCCATTTTAGGCCATGCTGACCTGGGAGCTAAGGTCATGTCTGAAACAAATCTGACTCAATGCAGATTCAAACCCAAGACCTTTAGACCGGAGACGATCTTCTAACCACTACATCACCGCAGCTTCTGAAGGCCAAAGGTATTGAGGCAGATTCATAGGAACAGGATGTCAAGGGTTACATAGCATGGATGGCAACAATTAGCACAAGAATAGAGACAAAGGAAAAGACTGTAGACAGGTACAGTGATGAACATCTGAGAAGACACTGTAGACAGGTACAGTGATGAACATCTGAGAAGACACTGTAGACAGGTACAGTGATGAACATCTGAGAAGACACTGTAGACAGGTACAGTGATGAACATCTGAGAAGACACCGTAGACAGGTACAGTGATGAACATCTGAGAAGACACCGTAGACAGGTACAGTGATGAACATCTGAGAAGACACCGTAGACATGTACAGTGATGATCCTCGATTTAGCTTAAAGCCTTGTCAAGTGTAAATCTGTCATTTAAACAGGTGGGTCTCTCATTCTATGTAAGGACCTCATGAGCTTTTTATTTAAGGCTCAGGTTAGAGGAAGTTTTGTGAAAGAAGAGTCTAGTGCTTTTGCTTTGACTACGACTGTGATCCTGCCCCTGTCACAGACCTTTGATTGACCTTGATGGTCCGTGGCTCGCTAGGTGGGCCTCTGACAGACAATCGACCTAGTATACACTTAACACAGAGCACACATGACAATCTTTAATGTTAATCACAAATCAGCAATAAGACAGCTGCCTTCTCTTGTGTGGCAACCTGTTACCCAGAAGCCTGGTCCTGCGAGTTTTACATTCACTACGCACGCCAGTGCATTATTTAAGGCAAATCCTAGGTTCGGAAACCACACCTATGCGAGATACGCTCTCTTCCTTGTCACTGGACCTTACCAGGATCGCAGAGTTTCTGCCAAGTTCAGAGCCAGAGGGCCAAGGCTAGAAATCATCATACAAACCATATCACTACCCGAGTCTACTGATCAGAATACGTATTAAGGAACAACACAACACCTGTTGCTGTTAAATGCTACACAACAAAGAGAAGCTATTCTACCATAACGTAACACTCATCAAAATCTATGTGGTCACTAGAGTATTATTATTACCTAAACTTCTACATTTGTCCAACTAAATACGAGCCTGTCTCCTGTCTAAAGCCTCAAAGTCGAATGCCTGATTGCCTCCCACCTTGTGACTTTTGTAAGGGTGATCTTGCTCAGGTCGGGTCATGTAGCAAACATGACATGAAACCACCAGAAAGAGAGTTCACTCTTTTAGCACTCAATCGCGGCCACCACTGGGTCTTGCTGAGCGGTAGTTTCAACTAAATTACAACAGCACATTCTTGGACAGTCATGCCATCCACCATGCTGACCTCCGTGTCAACTGTGAGTTCTACCCGTACACACAGTACTCTGCCTCTATGGTCTACACCGCCACATGATTGTACAAACAGGGTTCTGACAGCCCCTTTCATTTTTAATTAAAAAAGACACTTTTTCATGTTTTCAGGAGTACTAGGCATTACAGGTACAGTGATGAATATCTGAGAAGACACTGTAGACAGGTACAGTGATGAACACAAATAAGGCAAGAATCCAGGCAAGAATATGTGTCTAATTTTATACGAAAACGCCGCTGGAACTATGTCGGCCACGCCCTTAGAATGGATAAATCAAGACTTCCTTACCAAGCCCTCATTTGGACACCACAGGGGAAAAGATCTCGTGGAAGACCAAGGGAAACCCTACGTAGAACTATCATCAGGGAAGGCTCGCTCATGGGCCACTCAAACATCCAAGACCTACAACAGATTGCAAAGAAACCGATTTTGCATGGAGTCATGACCTCTGCCCTATGTGCCGCACTCGACACAAGAGAAAAGACTAACTAAGGCATTACAGACCAATCAGTACTGGGCATTACAGACCAATCAGTACTGGGCATTACAGACCAATCAGTACTGGGCATTACAGACCAATCAGTACTGGGCATTACAGACCAATCAGTACTGGGCATTACAGACCAATAAGTACTGGGCATTACAGACCAATCAGTACTGGGCATTACAGACCAATCAGTACTGGGCATTACAGACCAATCAGTACTAGGTGGGTTATGTGGTCAACGCTCATGCTGGCTGACTTTACTTCTTGTTGTGTGCGAAAGTCACTGTGAGTTATAAAGAGTTAATGAAGCCAGGGCTTTGAGAAGGATGGGTAAACACGGGCATGCATGTTACGTTGACGGGTTGTGAGTGTAAATATTTGTCCCATAGGAGTCCATACGCCTGGTGCCGCCCCGCATGCTCGCCAGACATCCAACGTTTATGACCAGCTCACCCGTGGCCGTCCAGTTCCTCAGCACATTGGCCCACCTTGAACTTAGGGGTTTATATTCGGAGTTTGCCGCCTCCTAGATGGACTGCTGTCCAAAGCTAACGGGTTCCACCTACCCGGGGAAAGGGGTTATAGCGCCCCGACCCGCCTGGCAGGCACGTCTACAAGCATATGAGGTATTTTATAAGGATTTCAGAACCCACCCTGAAATCCTGCCTCGCCCTCTGTGCCCACCGCCAGTTAGTCTGCGGCTGCTTATTGGGTATTCACAGCTAACCTCTATATCTAGAGGCCGTTTCACAATCTGCCCCCAGTGGACGCCTGGGTTGGGGATGGTCGCCTCAGCTTTACCCACTTGGCTAGAGAACATGACACACACTCATATCGTCACTGTAACTGACTCAGAAAGCATGCTGAGGAAGATCAGGACAGGCATGCTTCATGCTGCGGAGGACACGTGTGAAGATTATTGTCTTGATTTTTTTACCAGGGTGCGCCGGTGTGTTGGGAAATGAACAGGCAGACAGACTGGCTGGCTCTGCACAGCTTAGTGAAATACTGATGCATGATAGGGCAGACATGGTTAGTGCCATATGGGAGAGCGTGTACAGTTCGAAGGAGCTGATGGATCACCACAGTCTAGTGAGACTGTTGCAGGGGGGAGTGAGGAGAGGTTCTGGCAGATGCTCGAGGCTCAGAGGAAAGGCAAGACGGACGTTTAATCAGAATGCTACTGGCATTATTAGTATGGGAACTCTTCGCTGTCTGCTGAAGATGGGGATAGAGCGCTTACTGGAATGCCCTGAGTGCTGTGATGTCAGTTCTTGAATCAAATCAAATCATGTCTTTCTCCTATTCTTAAACTATTGTGTGTCAGGCTCCTAGTGGGTCTAGAAAACAAACTCGTTCTTCTGATGGCCCAGTGGAACATCTTTCGACCAGTTTCGTGTTAGATGATAACCTTGTAGCTGACTGTGTGGCATCGCGCGACATCGAATCGGCTTATATTACCACTAGTAACTGTCCTTAGCTGATTGTCACGGGTTAGGATCGTGTGGGATTTGAATGGGTGTCGAGAGACTAGCGTTCTCAGTCGGGAACACTCACGGCTCCGTGGATACCGCCTCTATCATGTTGAGTCGTTAACTCCTCCATGGTCGAAAAAAAAAAGTTATAAAGCATTCACTAATTTCCCTAGACAGGATGTAGAGATATTTATGGCCAGACTATATTGCAGCCCCCAGGGTGGGGCTTCAAAATAACGAACAATTAATTGCATCCCACAAGGGAAAAACTAATTTTATTCTCATAAAATGTAATGTCGGCAGCAAGAAAGTGTAAGAAAGTGTTTTGAACTGTTCAGGTGGTAGGTAAGGTTAAGTTGGTAACAAAGACAAACAAAAGGAAAGAATCATAGACGAAGAAATAAATGTTGATGTCCGGGGCCCTAATAAAAGATTTAAACATAGTATGATTCACATATAACGTGCATCATCAGCGATAGTTCTTAATGTGTTCTTTAACAATAATTCCTAGAATTTACCTTTGGAATCTCAACGAAGAACTAAAACTAAAAATACTAAAAGTAAACATGCTCAAAAGT